GCTCGTGCTTTCTGCAATTCATGATACATGAGACCTGGCTTTGGGGAAGAGGGCCTGTGTTGGTCACCCAGGTCTTGCCGTATTTGGGAAATACCGTGTGAGGGGCTGAGCCCCCATATTAGGACATTTACCGCCCCCCTGGTGGAGAGAGGGGGAAGTTTGGGACTCACTGTTAGAATGCACTTCGGAAGGCCGAGGCTGCAGTGAGCTGTGATCAGCATCACTGCACTCCGGCCTGGGCAACAGAGAAAGATCCTGTCTCAAAAAATAATAATAACAATGCACCTGGCTTTGCAGGGCCCCGCTGTGGCCCTGGATCCCTCGGATTGGAGTAAAAGGGTTTCTCATGGATTCTGGGGCCCATCACGATGACTGAAGCAGACTCCTTGGAAACACGCATTTTTCAGAGGCTCCTTGGGTGAATCTGATAGGACCTGCCCTAAAGTTTAGGAACCGCTGAGTTTGGGAACCACAAAAGCCCTAAGATGCAAGAGAACAGGTCCTGGAGGCAGAGACCAGTAACCCAGGACCTTGGATGCTGGCCAAAGAGCTGGAATTTTCTCCTGAGGGCACTGGGGAGTCATGGAGGGCTTAAGTGGGGGAGTGACGCATTTCAGGCTTTAGTCCAACCCCTGTGGCTGTCATGTGTATCAGTGTGTGTGGAACAGATGTGGGCAAGGCACCCAGAAAGAAGATCATGTGAAAACCACAGCCAGGCTAGGGGTAGGCAGGAAGGGATGTGAATCTCTGTAGACTCCAGTTTTCTTTATTTTTATTTATTATTATTTTTTCAATTCTTTTTTTCTTTTCTTTTCTTTTTTTTTTTTTTTTTTTTGAGACAGTCTCGCTCTGTTGCCCAGGCTGGAGTGCAATGGTGCCATGTTGGTTCACTGCAACCTCCACCTCCCCAGTTCAAGTGATTCTCCTCAGTAGCTGGGATTACAGGCATGCACCACCACGCCTGGTTAATTTTTTTGTATTTTTAGTAGAGATGGGGTTTCACCATGTTGGCCAGGCTGGTCTCAAACTCCTGACCTCAAGTGATCTGCCTGCCTCAGCCTCCCAAAAGTTCTGGGATTACAGGTGTGAGCCACCAAGCCTGGCGTATTATTATTGTTTTTTGAGATAGGGTCTCGCTCCATCACCCAGGCTGCAGTGCAGTGACAGCGCCATCTCAGATCACTGTGACCTCTACCTCCCGGGCTCAAACAATCCTCCTGCCTCAGTTTCCCAAGTAGCTGGGACTACAGGCATGTGCCACCACCCCAGCTAATGCAGTCTCACCATGTTGCCCAGGCTGGTATCCAACTCCTAGGCTCAAGTGATCTGCCTACCTTGGCTTCCCAAAGTGCTGGGATTACAGGCACAAGCTACCGCATCCAGCCACTCTACAGACTCCTGGCTGCCCTTCTGCCTTAGTTGCCTCCAGCTCCCAGCCACTCCCCGCCTTGGTGTCTGACCTGGGCACAGCTCTGACTCCACTCACCAGATACCCCTCCTTCTCCTCCTCTTCCCCCATGGCAATGATGGTTCTCAGGCAGGGTGGGCGGGCAGCCAGGACGAGGGCGTGGGTTTGTGTGCATGTGGTGGTTGGGGGAGTGTCTGGTTGTGCGTGTGTCGTGGGCTCTGCCAGTGTTTGCCTGGGAATCTGCTGGGGAACTTCCAGGTGCAGTATTTGTTGATCTGCTCCCTCCCCTGGTTTTTCCCCACCCCCCAGGTACTGGTTAATTCCCAACTTTCCAGGGCAGTCACTTCACCTCTGTTGCCTCAGTTCCCTGATCTGTCAGTAGAGATACAATTACCAGTTCCCACCTCTGCTGGGTTATGAGGTTCAAAGAGTCCAAGACTCAATAAATGTAACCATCATCTCCTGCTTGCTTCTGTGTGAGACTGTTTCTTCCCAGGGGCGATTTTTTTGGTTTGTTTTTTTGTTTGTTTGTTTATGAGATGGAGTCTTGCTCTGTTGCCCAGACTGGAGTACAGTATCACGATCTCAGCTCACTGCAACCTCTGCCTCCCGGGTTCAAGCAATTCTCCTGCCTCAGCCTCCCAAGTAGCTGGGACTACAGGCGCCTGCCACTGCACCTGGCTAATTTTTTTTTTTTTTTTTAGTAGAGACGGGGTTTCACCATGTTGGCCAGGCTGGTCTTGAACTCCTGACCTCAAGTGATCCACCTGCCTCAGCCTCCCAAAGTGCTAAGATTACAGGTGTGAGCCACTGCGCGTGGCCTGTTTTTGTTTTTTGTTTCTTTGAGACAGGGTCTCATTCTGTCACCCAGGCTAGAATGCAGTGTCTCGATCTCAGCTCACTGCAACTTTGAGCTCTTGGGCTCAAGCGATCCTCCCACCTCAGCCTCCCAAGTAGCTGGGACCACAAGTGTGTTCCACCACACCAAGATAATTTATTAATTTTTTGGTAGAGATGGGGTCTTTCCATGCTGCCCCAGCTGGTTTCAAACTCGTGGGCTCAAGTGATCCTCCCGCCTCGGCCTCCCAAACTGTTAGATTACAGATGTGAGCTACCTCACCCAGCCCTTGGGGACAATTTGAATCTGTGTCTCTGTGTATGTTCTCTAAGCTTCTGTATGCCAGTCTGTCTAACTCGTTGTATACCAGCTGTGCAACCTTGGGTGAGTTACTAGACCTCTCTGTGCCTTGTTTCTTCATCACAAAATGGGCATGACTTCCTAGTCATGTCTGCTTCCTAGGGTGGATGTGGAGACTGAATTAATTGCCTAATTAATTACCTAAGTCCATTGCACATAATGGACTTAGTGCAATGCCTGGCATGCGGGCAGCCTCAATTACATGATCATCATCACTGGGGCATGACTTACGTCTCCCACCCGCCAAGTGTCTGTGAGTGTCTGAGCACGTGGGGCAGGAAGTGCCTGTGGAAGCATGTGGAGTTATCTGGGACTCTATGGCACCCGGCCTGGGAAGGCGGCCTCTGTTTCCTCATCTGTAAAATGGGAATAATGATAGCATCCCTCACAGGGTTGTTGTAGTGGAAAGACCTGTCCCAGAGGACATCTGCCAGCACACAGCTGCACACACACGTTTGCTGTTACTTTTCCTTTACCTATAAAATGCCAATCATAGTAGCACCCATCTTGTCTTTGTAGGAGAATGAAATGAACTTAGAAGCACTCAGTAGAAAGCTCTCACCGTTCGGTGGCTCACGCAAGTAATCCCAGCACTTTGGGAGGCTGAGGCAGGTGGATCACTTGAGGTCAGGAGTTTGAAACCAGTCTGACCAACAGAGTGAAACCCCCGTCTCTACTAAAAATACAAAATTAGCTGGGCATGGTGGCGGGTGCCTGTAATCCCAGCTACTCGGGAGGCTGAGGCAGGAGAATCACTTGAACCTGGGAGGTGGCAGTTGCAGTGAGCTGAGATCACACCACTGCACTCCAGCCTGGGTGACAGAGTGAGACTCCATTTCAAAAACAAAAAAAAGGAAGAAAGAAAAAGGAAGGAAGAAAGGAAGGAAGGGAGGGAGGGAGGGAGGGAAGGAGGGAGGGAGGGAGGGAGGGAAAGAAAGAAATAAAGAGAAAGAAAGAAAGAAAAAGAAAGAAAGAAAGGAAGGAAGGAAGGAAGGAAGGAAGGAGAAAGAAGAGAGAAAGAAAGAAAGGAAGGAAGGAAGGAAGGAAGGAAGGAGAAAGAAAGAAGAGAGAAAGAAAGAGAAAGAAAGAAAAAGAGAAAGAAAGAGAAAGAAAGCGCTCACTGGTGAATGATACTGATCATCAGCTCAGTGCTGAGCTTACCTGGGCCAGGTAGAGGGATGTGGCCATGGGCAGGAAATGCCTGTGGGCATCTGGCTCTACAGGTTCCTCTGCCACTCCACTTCCTCCACACCTGACCTCCTGTCCCCACCTGAGCCCCATCCCTTGCTCCCACCTCCTCGTGACCTCTGATGGAGGAGGCTTCTGCAGCCACCCACCCCAGTCCCAAGCAGGGGTGCAGGCCCCCAGAACCCCTAGTTGGGATCACTGCTTCCCTCTTGCTGCCATCTTTGTTCCTCCCTGGGGTCCCCCATCTCTGAGGCTCCTCATCTCTGGTTTTGGGTGTCTCTCTGCTCTCCCCACCTTGGTTTTCTGGACAGAATGTGTCAGGGCCCCAAGGGGGTGTCCCAGGTAAGGACAGAGAAGGAAGTGGCAGAGGCAGGACCTCCCCTTTGCACCCCAGCTCATCCATCCGCTCCCCCTCTGCAGAGTGGGAAGGGGGAGGAGGGGGCGTCTTCGTTAATTAGCCTCTTAATCCTGCCATGCTAGATCTTAATGAGGTGCACGGGCCCATTAGACAGTCCGGAGCCCTGGCATTAGCGCATTTGTCACATGCTCTGTCAGGCCCACGCTGGGTCCTCAGCTGGCCCTGGGAAAATTGGGGCAGGAAGTCTGGGGACCTAAGAAGGGGCCTGGTGCCTGGACTCCTGGGTCTGAGGGAGGAGGGTCTGGTGCCTGGACTCCAGGGTCTGAGGGAAGAGGAATTGGAGACCTGGACCCCTGGGTCTGAAGGAGGAGGGGCTGGGGATCTGGACCCCTGGGTCTGAAGGAGGAGGGGCTGGGGATCTGGACCCCTGGGTCTGAGGGAAGAGGGGCTGGTGCCTGGACTCCTGGGTCTGAAGGGGGAGGGACTGGGGAACTCGACCCCTGGGTCTGAGGGAGGAGGGGCTGGGGACCTGGACTCTTGGGTCTGAGGGAGGAGGGGCTGGAGACCTGGACTCTTGGGTCTGAGGGAGGAGGGGCTGGAGACCTGGACTCCTGGGTCTGAGGGAGGAGGGGCTGGAGACCTGGACTCCTGGGTCTGAGGGAGGAGGGGCTGGGGATCTGGACTCCTGGGTCTGAGGGAGGAGGGGCTGGGGATCTGGACTCCTGGGTCTGAGGGAGGAGGGGCTGGAGACCTGGACTCCTGGGTCTGACGGAGGAGGGGCTGGGAGCCTGGACTCCTGGGTCTGAGGGAGGAGGGGCTGGGGATCTGGACTCCTGGGTCTGAGGGAGGAGGGTCCGAGGGACAAGATCCTCCCCCGACACGCCCCTCTCTTAAATGCCAGCCGGGGTGCCCTGCCCCTTCCCGCTCCCAGTTAACCCCAGCCCTGCGAAACAGGGACAGTCGTGCAGCCTCGAGGGATGGAGGAGGTGCGTGAGGGACGCGCGCTCGGTGGCGGGATGGAAGCCGATGGGCCCGCGAGCCCGCAGGAGCTGCCTCCCTCGCCACGGTCGCCGTCACCGCCGCCGTCGCCCCCACCACTGCCCTCACCGCCGTCGCTGCCATCGCCCGCGGCCCCGGAGGCCCCCGAGCTCCCCGAGCCGGAGCAGCCGTCCGAGGTTCACGCCCGGCAGCTGCTGCTGGAGGAGTGGGGGCCGCTGAGCGGGGGCCTGGAGCTGCCCCCTCGCCTCACCTGGAAGCTGCTCCTGCTACGGCGGCCGCTCTACCGCAACCTGCTGCGCTCGCCCAATCCCGAAGGTGCGCAGGGCCCCCAGCAGCCGGGAGGCACCACCCTGACCGTCTGTCTCTTCCTCTTTTCCTCTCTGTTTCCTTATCTCTCTGGCTCTTTGTCTCTCACTGTCTCTGCATTTCTCTGAATCCCTCTGTCTCCTTTTCTGTCATTGTGCCTCTCCGTTTTGCCCCTGTCTCTCTGTCGTGTCTCTCACCTACCTCTCTCACACCTCTCCCTCACACCTCTCTCTCTCTCTTTCTCTCTTCCTCTCTCTCTCCCCCTCTGCCTATGTTTCTGTCTCTTGAGACGGAGTCTTGCTGTCGCCCAGGCTGGAGTGCAGTGGTGCAATCTCGGCTCACTGCAACCTCTGCCTCCCAGGCTCAAGCAATTCTCCTGCCTCAGTCTCCCGAGTAGCTGGGATTACAGGCATGCACCACCATGCCTGGGTAATTTTTGTATTTTCAGTAGAGTCAGGGTTTCGCCATGTTGGCCAGCCTGGGCTGGTTTCAAACTCTTGGCCTGTCTGTTTCTCTGGATTCTTCTCTCTGTCCCTCTGTCTCTGTCTCACCACACCCCACTTACCCCCCGCCATCGCCCTCTCCCCGGAGCCCTGACTCACTCATCCCTGCCGGGCTTCCCTGACCTGGCACAGATTCCTGCCCTTCCAGTGTGTAGCCTTGCGGGTAGGGAGGGATGAGGCAGTGGAAGGTGGAGGGGCTGCCCAGAGGCTCCACTCACCTGTCCATTTCAGGCATCAACATTTATGAGCCAGCACCCCCTACTGGTCCCACCCAGCGACCCCTGGAGACTCTGGGTAAGTGCTTGGAGGGCTGGGTTGCTGAAGGTGGGGAGGGTCCTCCAGTGTTGGCGTGTTCTAACCCTTTGCTCCCCAACCTGCAGGCAATTTCCGTGGTTGGTACATTAGAACCGAAAAGCTTCAGCAGAACCAAAGGTGAGTCGCCGGGGCTGGTGTGGCCTACACTCCATTCCCTGCTCCACCCTTCCTGGCTGTAAGAACTGGAGAAACTGACTTAGCCTCTCTAGACCTCCATTTCCCACTCTGTAAACAGGGTTAGCATAAGAGAGAATGCCTGTAAAACACACAGCCTAGGGCCCGGCCAGGTCTGGCTAGCACCAGTCAATAGCAGCTATTATTGGTTTTTGGTTTTTGTTTTTAAGACGAAGTCTCACTCTGTTGCCCAGACTGGAGTGCAGTGGCGCAATCTCAGCTCACTGCAACCTCTGCCTCCCAGGTTCAAGCAATTCTCCTGCCTCAGCCTCCTGAGTAGCTAGGATTACAGGTGTGCACCACCATGCCCGGCTCATTTTGTATTTTTAGTAGAGACGGCGTTTCACCATGTTGGCCAGGTTGGTCTCGAACTCCTGACCTCAAGTGATCTGCCTGCCTCAGCGTCCCAAAGTGCTCGGATTACAGGCGTGAACCACCGCGCCTGGCTATTCTTGTTGTTGTTGTAATTATTCTAAGGCTCTTTCCCTGGAGGGGAAGAGTCACCCCAGGCCACCCCCTGTCCTCCATGAAACAGAGCCTTGCTCCTGCGCAGTAGATGAGCTGGTGTGACTCGGAGGCTCAGGGTCACACAGGCCAGGGTTGGGATCCTGGCTCTGCCACATGCTTGCTGCTTGACCTCGGACACGTCTCCATCCTCAGCCTCGGGTTCCTCGTCTGTAGCATGGGGTTCAGGATGCATTGCCCTCAGAGGGGCCCATGGGGACTGAGACTGGAAGGTGCTGAGGGAGCACCCCAAATGTGGGGACCCAAGCTATCCCTAAGAAAGCGCTAAGACACGGCTTCCTGCTCCCTGGAGCCAGGCCGACCGGGGAGATCCCCGAGGATCCTGGCAGATCGCAGACCCCGCCTCTCCCGGCCCTTGTTTCACAGCTGGACAGTGAAGCAGCAGTGTGTGGACCTTCTGGCCGAGGGCCTGTGGGAGGAGCTGCTGGATGACGAACAACCAGACATTACGGTCATGGACTGGTGCGTGCCCCTGCCCTGCCAGCCTGACCCCGTGATCACACAGGGCTGCCCAGAGCACGAGCCTTACGCTGAGCTCCCCTTGCTCTCAGCCCCTCACCAAGACCCTCCTGGTGCTGCAGGGTTCTGCCCTGCCCACCTCCCTGGCCCCTTCTGTTTGAGTCTTTCTGATTTTGAAATGTGCCAGGGGGTTACTGAGGCTGACCCTTATTTCTTTTCTTTTCTTTTTTTTTTTTTTTTTTTTTTTTGAGACAGAGTCTTACTCTGTCGCCCATGCTGAACTGCAGTGGTGCCATCTCGGCTGACTGCTACCTCTGCCTCTCAGGTTTAAGTGATTCTCCTGCTTCAGCTTCCCAAGTAACTGGCACCACAGGCACGTGCCACCACACCCAGCTAATTTCTGTATTTTTAGTGGAGACATGGTTTCACCATGTTGCCCAGGCTGGTCTCGAACTCCTGACCTCAAGTGATCTGCCCGCCTCAGCCTCCCAAAGTGCTGGGATTATAGGCATAAGCCACCATGCCCGGCCTATTCTTTATTTCTTAAAAGCCTGTCACCCTCTATTCTCAAGACAAATTCCGTCTCATTCCTTAGGAGTCACTTACACGTGGCTCCACCAGGAAGCCTTCCCTGATCACCCCTCAGCTGGGTCAGGTGCATTTGCTCCAGTGCCCTGTGCCCCCCATCCCAGTCCCAACCTCTCTGTGCCCCCAATTCCGGCCCCAACCCCTCTGCCTGGGTCCCCGATTCTGGCCCCAACCCCTCTGCCTGGGTCCCCCCATCCTGGCCCTGACCCCTCTGCCCGTGCTCCCCATCCCAACCCTGGCCGTTCCTGGCTGTCATGTTTGGTGGCATGCCAGCCTCCCTCACTGGACTGTGAATCCCGTGTGGACGGGGCATGGGGCTGTCTTGGTCACTGCTATGCTGCCAGCACCACCCAGCTCAGGGCTGTGCACGGCGTGGGTAGCAGCATGTGTGTTGAACGGGGAACGGGGAACGGGTCCAGGGGCTGGGGCTGGGTAGCTGAGACTGCAGTGGCAGCTGAAGGCCTTGACCCCGCCTGCAGGTTTGAGGACAGCCGGCTGGATGCCTGCGTCTACGAACTGCACGTCTGGCTCCTGGCAGCCGACCGCCGCTCCGTCATCGCTCAGCACCACGTGGCCCCCCGAACTTCTGGGAGAGGACCCCCTGGCCGCTGGGTCCAGGTGAGACTCTCAGCCCTGGGGCCCTAAACCCCAGACGTGTGTTCTTATCCCAAGACCTCACAGAGGGAGGAGAGCAGGTCCACGGGTCCTCGAAAAGGGCTCCTCCCTAACCCCAGGTGCTGTCACCACAGGTGTCCCACGTATTCCGCCATTATGGTCCTGGTGTGCGCTTCATCCACTTCCTGCACAAGGCCAAGAACCGCATGGAGCCTGGTGGGCTGCGGCGGACACGTGTGACTGACTCCTCCGTGTCTGTGCAGCTCCGGGAGTGACTGGCTGGCTCCTCTGTCCTGACCCCACAGCATCTCCCTGAGCTTTAGAAGCCCCTAACTCTTAGCCACCTCTTAGGACCCTTATTCCTCCCCGGCCCTTGGCTTCTCTCTTGATGGACAGCTTCCACACCCTTAAGCGGTGGACTCCAGCATTTTCCCGGCACTCTCTGAGCCCCGTGAGGGCAGAGCCACTCCTTGTAAATTCAGTGCCTGACAGATGCTCTGGCACAGATGCTCCGTAGATCTCTGTTGAGTGAATGCATAGACACCTGTGCTCAAGGATGCTGAGGGCTGGTCTCTGCTTCTTTGAACTTCACTGAAACTGAATGCTCACTGCTGTGTTGCCAGCACCACCCAGCCCAGGGCTGTGAGCAGAGTGGCAGTGAATGTCTGTTGAAGGGGGAATGGAGCCATTCATTTCACTCAGTTCCTGTCCCATTTAACCGCCCCTGATCCTTGATCTTCCATTACCTTCACACCCCGGGGTCCTTCTGAACTGACCTTGACCTCTGATCTCTTCACATATCTCCCCTTAGCATCTCTACTTACCTACTCTCTCTTTTTTTTTTTTTGAGATGGAGTCTCACTCTGTCGCCCAGGCTGAAGTGCAGTGACACAATCTTGGCTCACTGCAATTTCCACCTCCCAGGTTCAAGTGATTCTCCTGCCTCAGCCTCTCAAGTAGGGATTACAGGTGCCCACCACCACGCCCACTAATTTTTGTATTTTTAGTAGAGACGGGGTTTCACCATGTTGGCTAGGCTGGTCTCAAACTCCTGACCTCAAGTGATCCACCCACCTTGGCCTTCCAAAGTGCTGGGATTGCAGACATGAGTCACTGCGCCTGGCCATTCCATATCTCTTAAGTCTCAGAATTTCCTCTAGCTCCCTCCAGGTGTCTGCAGTTGTCGTCCCCTCAAAGCTGTCCCACACTCTCCTCCAAAGACCCTTTGTGTATCTTCTCCAGCTACCGCAGACCCCCCAAACCCAGGCATCCATCAAAGTCCCTCATTCATGAGGGTGTGGGGACACAGACTGTGACCAGAACAGAAATATGAAAATGTGAATGACAGTGTCCCCCGTGTGTGGAATGTGGGGATTAAAAGCATTTATCAACCACTAAGTCCTGATCTGATCACTTGCAGATCCCAGCCCTAGCCCAGGGCTGGGTCCTAGAAGGCCCGCACCCTGCTGTCCCCTGCAGGAACCATGGAGGGAGTCCGAAGGCCCCCTGGGAGGCCAGAAATGGCTCAAGGAGGAGTTTTTTGCTTGTGTGTTTGCTTTGAGACAGAGTCTCGCTCTGTTGCCCAGGCTGGAGCACAGTGGCACGATCTCGGCTCGCTGCAACCTCTACCTCCCAGGTTCAAGTGATTTCCGGCTAATGTTTGTATTTTCAGTAGAGATGGGGTTTCACCATGTTTGCCAGGCTGGCCTCCAACTCTTGAGCTCAGGTGATCCGCCCACCTCAGCCTCCCAAAGTGCTAGGATTACAGGCCTGAGCCACCACACCAGGCTAAAGAAGGGTTATTTACTGAAAAGGCTGGGGCATATTTCATATTTAACAGTCAGCCCAAGGTTCCCCTGTAGTTCACTCACATGTCCTTCTGTGGTGCGTGTCTTTGTGCACACGTAAAACCATGTCCAAGTCAATGGCGTGTCCTCATCCATGGCATTGTCCTGTGTATGGGCTGACCCAGGCCCAACCACCCTGCTCTCTCCTCCATCCCACCCGGTCCAGTGAGGATTTGCATCCCAGGGACAAGCAGATGACAGACGGGGACCAGTGCACAAAGGCTGTATTGCAGGGGAGGTGGGGGGGCGGGCAGAACGCTCCTTCTCCTGGGTCTTGGGGCCCCTCAGCAGAGCCCAGGAATGGGCTGAGTGAGGGGTCTGGCACTCTGTGGAAGCTGCAGATGAGAGACCAGCAAAGCATCAGCTGCACCTGAAATGTAATCAAAAATTGCTTCCAGGGGCTCTCAGAGACCCAGGGTGTGGTGAGTTCTAGAAGCCTGAGGCTGGGTGGGGACTGGGGAGTCTGGGTCTGAGGCTCCAAGTTCAGGAACCAGGGATCCTAGCTTGGGAGTTTAGAGTTGGGGCTCCTTGGAGCCCTTGGGGGACGGGAGTGACTTGGGAGGGCTTGGGAGGTTGGGAGGGTGTCACCGCTGGATCTAGGTCCCAGGTCTGTGAGTGCAAGGTGGCCTCAGGGACCTCCAGGGATGGGTCTTAGGGGTGGGCTGTGGGACTGGTTTTAGGGCTGAGGCTGGTCTAGAGGGTCTAGGGGAGTGGAGAGCAGGAAGGCTACACACTGGGGGTTCCTATAATTGAGTCTGAGGTCTTGAGGTCTGGGTTAGTTTTGGAGTCTGGGAATTTGGAGATGTGATTATGTGAGGCATGGGGGCTGGCTTTGGTTCTGGGGACCAAGGTGAGGGGGTCTAGGACTTCTCAGTCCCCAGAATTAGCCAGCCCTCCCTGGGAAGAACAGCTGTGGGCGGGTGGGTAGGTGGAGGATTCCAGAAGATGGAGGGTTGGCTCTGAATCCCAGAGCTGGGGCGAGATCTCCGTCCCAGGGTCCTGGGCTGCAGGTGGAGTGGGGACCGGGTGCTGGGGGTGAAGAGAAGGAGGACCTGGTCTGGGTAAGGACTCTGAGATGGGGCCTCCACGACTGGTTTTAGGGAGGCCTGGTGCTCCCAGTTCCAGTCGGGAGCTCAGGGGTGTGGAGCAGCCTCGGGGCTTGGATGATGGGTGTGGGGGTTTGTGCGGAGCTGGGGCCGGGGCCTGGGTGGGCTCGGAGCTTTGGGCAGCTGGGCACCTGCAGTGGAGCGCGGAGATAGCGTTGGACCAGTTTCCCAAGATGCCGCGGCGGTACTCCTCCAGGCGCGGGTAGGTGCCGGCAGAGAATTTGTGCGTCTTGCCCGCCTTGCCTTGCCGGGACCACACGACGAGCTCGCAGCGCGGGGCCACCACAAGCGAGGAGGCGGTGTTGGCCCAGTTGGAGGGCAAGTAGGGCAGGTCTGCGCCCGGCTCCAGCGACAGCTCGGCGCCCCTGCAGCAGTTCTCATAGTAGGGGTCGCTCTTGTCATAGAGCTTGGCGCAAGTGCGCGTCCCGTCCGAGTGCTTGAGGTCGGCGGACGCGGGGCAGGCGCCCTGGGCGCACGGCACGGCGGCCAGGGCCAGGGCCAGGGCCAGCAGCAGCGGGCGCAGTGAGGACATGGTGGCAGTGCCCCGCCGCGGCCCAGCGCGCTTTTATGCGCCCGACCTGTGGGAAGGGACAAGCTGCCAGATAAGGACTCATGGAGGGAAGGGGGGGCGCCCCTTCCCCAGGAGCCGGGAGACCTGCCTAACCTAGGTCGGAAACCCACAACCCTGGGTACAAGGTGGACGCTGTGTATACAACTTAGCACCTTAAGATGTTAGGTGACCAACAACATTATAAAGAGAGACAAGAGACAGGACTTGAGGAGGAGTCATTTGCAACCCAGAGGGTGGCATAGGTTAATAGACAGAAATGGGAAGAACTTTTAAAAATTGACAAGGGGCTTGCTGGTGACTCACGCCTGTAATCCCAGCACTTTGGGAGGCCTAGACGGGTGGATCGCTTGAGCCCAGGAGTTTGAGACCAGTCTGGGCAACATAGCAAGATCCCGTCCCTACTAAAAATAAAGTTAGCCCAGCGTGGTGGCGTGGCCTGTAGTCCCAGCTACTCACAAAGCCTAGTCGGGAGGATCGCTTGAGCCCAGGAGTTCCAGGCTGCGGTGAGCTGAGATCGTTTCACTGTACTCCAGCCTGGGCAACAAAGCCAGGAAAAAAAAAAAAATTGCCGGGCGCGGTGCCTCAAGCCTGTAATCCCAGCACTTTGGGAGGCCGAGACGGGCGGATCACGAGGTCAGGAGATCGAGACCATCCTGGGTAACACGGTGAAACCCCGTCTCTACTAAAAAAATACAAAAAAACTAGCCGGGCGAGGTGGCAGGCGCCTGTAGTCCCAGCCACTCGGGAGGCTGAGGCAGGAGAATGGTGTAAACCCAGGAGGCGGAGCTTGCAGTGAGCTGAGGTCCAGCCACTGCACTCCAGCCTGGGCGACAGAGCAAGACTCCGTCTCCAAAAAAAAAAAAAAATAAATAAGGAATGGAACAACCCTTATTCTAGATAAGGAAAGACTGGGTTGGGGGAGGCGGGAGTGGGAGGCTGGCGCCTCCTGGCTGAGCAGGCTCCCTCCCTGGGAGGCAGGACCTTGGGAAAGGAGAAGCTGGAGATAAGGATAGAGGCCCTTGTGGGGTGGGGGCAGGTAGAGAAGGAGATGAGGAGCCCCACGCCCCACCCCCACCAGGCTCAGACCGGGCAGTCTTCCCAACCAAGGCTGGCAATCCAGAATCTGTGAAGCACAAGATAGCAGTATTTGCATAACACGTTAAAAACCTTTTGCAAGACAGCGTACAAAGGCTTGAGGAGATATTTGCAACATTTCAAAAGCATAGCATTACAAGTTATAATATATAAAGAGTGCACACAGGTTGGGCGCGGTAGCTCATGCCTGTAATCACAATACTTTGGGAGACCGAGGCAGGCAGATCATTTGAGGCCAGGAGTTCAAGACCAGCCTGGCCAACATGGTGAAACCCCGTCTGTACTTAAAGTACAAAAATTAGGGCACACGCCTGTAGTCTCAGCTACTCGGGAGGCTGAGGGATGAGAATCACTTGAACCTGGGAGGTGGAGGTTGCGGTGAGCCAAGATCGCATAAAAAAAAAGAGTGCCTACAAATTGACAAGAACTGCACCCCTCCCTCCCACACGCTAAGGACAGGCCTAGGAGAGGGAGGTGGGGGGAAGAGCCTGCCACTCCCACCTCAGGAGCCAGGAGACTTTCTTAACTAAGGTTGGAAATCTTCAATCTATAAAACAAATGGGGAACCTTTTGAGCTGTATAAAACTGTAAAACTGTTGTATAGCAAAAACAAAACAAAACAAAACAAAACCCACAAACCCAGCCAGGGAAAAATAGACTCAATTCCTATCATATAAAATGAGCTGTTACCGATCAGCCAGTAGAAATGAAACAAGGGCTGGGCGCAGTGGCTCACACCTGTAATCCCAGCACTTTGGGAGGCCCAGGCAGGTGGATCACCGAGGTCAGGAGTTCGAGACCCGCCTGGCCAACATAATGAAATCCCATCTCTACTAAAAATACAAAAATTAGCTGGGCGTGGTGGCGCACAGAACCTCGGGAAGCTGAGGCAGGAGAATTGCTTGAACCGAGGAGGTGGAAGTTGCAGTGAGCCGAGATCGCGCTACTGCACTCCAGTCTGGGTGGCAAAGTGACTCTGTCTCAAAAAAAAAAAAAAAAAAAAAAAGAAGGAAGGAAGGAACAAAGAAAAGAAAAGAAAAAAGAAGAAAAGAAACAAGGCAAAGGAAAAATTAGAGCAGCATAGGAAGGAGAGGGAGATTGGAACCCTAGGGCTGGACAAGGACCCAGACCTCTGGGAGCCTGGCCAGGGCCCTTCCAAGGTTTTTTGGAGTTCCCAGCCTCTTCCCAAAACAGGGTCAAGAGTGTGGATGCACTGATTAGACAGACACGGGTCCACTGGCTCTGTCAGTACAGGTCTGGGC